GAAAGTCCACTAGAAGAACCCATAGAAAAAAAGTCTGAAAGTCCACCTAGAAGAACCCATAGAGAAAAGTCTGCAAGTCCACATAGAAGGTCCCATCGAAAAAAGTCTACAAGTCCACCTAGGAAGACAGAACAAAACAAATCTTACAGCCCACATAGGCGTGAAAAAAGGAGATCACAAACACCAAGTCCCAAAAGGAGCAGAGGAAGTCGAATGAAAAAAGAACGCAGGAGGAAATCCCACAGTCCGCGCACATCTGAGAAAAGACGTCGCTCTTCCATTAGTCCCTCTGGGAAGAGACATAAACATTCTGCTGAGAAGAAAGGGCATGGCAAGCATTCACCAGAAAGATTACACCTTGAATCAGAGAGTGTAGCATGTCAGAGCAGCCAAGAGAGTAAGAAACCTGAAATAAAGAAAGATTTTGTTATTGATATATCTCAGCTACATATAGATATACATGGAAGTAGGACTTCCACCTCGCCGGTGAGGCATATTATCAATCCTGCTGATGTGTATGTACCTAGACGTAAGGATGAAGGGACTAAGGGAATATTCGAGAGAGAGGAAATTATTCGGAATCAATTGCATCATATTGCAGAAGAAAATGGCAGTCATGTAGAGAGGAGAGTTGTAACTGTCTTCAAACCAGGAGATTTTATCTCGATCTGATAAACAGATAAACAGATCTGGTAGACAGAAAGGTTTCCCAGAGTGTTATGAGCGTGATGGGAACATGGAAATACAAAGATTCAGGTCCACAGACCAAAATAGACCGCAAGAACAAAAACCAAGTTTAAGCGAGCGCTGGCAAGCCAGAATACAAGAAGATGCAAAACAGTCTGAAACGCAGTTGACGAGAAACGTTATAGAAGTTCATAAAGGAAGTGGTGATTCTAATTATGTGCGAGAGTATAAAAAAGAACGATCATCAAAACATGAGCGTCAGCGTAATAAGTCATCACCGGACAGAAAAAAAAAAGATCGAAACACACGAGATTTGCGTGGTAGGTTGAATGAACAACGCAAGAGTTTTGATGATAAAGACAATTTAAGATCAGATAATAAAGGACGACATCCAAATCCACGTGATTTGAGACATAGTTTAGATAGTCGCCGCAACACTGATAAGGTCGAGGGTAAAAGTAGAGAGCGAGTCAGCCAAGATGGACATATCGACAGAAGGGGTCATGAACCAGATCGACGAGAATCAAGAAAACGTGACCATGATAGCCATCTGCCAAGTTCAACCACTAGGGATAGAGATGGTAAGGATGATGGAAAGAAACGCAGGGAAGATCCATTACCAGATTTTAAAAAGCGAGATGAACGGCCGCCACCTGAACCAGAATGGGTACGCAATCCAACAGCTATTCCAAAAGGTGGTAGTTACTATGAGGTAAGCATTTCTATTATGTGTCTAGGTTCTCCATGCTAAGATTTCAAAGAGGGCCCCCAATTTTTGTCTAATTTACATATAAATGAATTACTGCTGAGAATATAACCAAAGTTTGACCACTTTGATTTAAAGCTGCTATTTTTAGGTGGACTGGTGTCACATACCGTAAATGCAATAATTTTTCACTGGTTTTTAATTCTATTATTTTTTAACGATATCGGTAAGTAAAATCTGCTATTGAAATTATTTTACATGTGAAGATGTAAAAAAAACAATAGAACACATTCTTTTCCTGGCAAATTTGTGAACTTAAAACCAAGTGAATATGCTCAAAATAGTGAAATACCACTAAAAAAATAATGATTTTACAGTACTGTAGAATACTTTATTTTTGCTTGGAATTTATTTTTGCTATTTTCACTGAAGGGATGATTCCGTGAAAATAAAATCCAGTGAATATACTTTTTTCCCTATATTTCACATTAAACTCATGAAAAATCAGTGAAAATAAATTCCAAGCAAAACGCCCAAAAAGCCTTTTCAGCGAAAATTAATTCCAGCGAAAATAAAGTATTCCACAGTATTTGAAATTGAATTGCTGGTGATACACTTGAGTCATCAAAGCCACATACGTTATTATTTAAAAACTTATTAAGTATTAATTTATTTTAAATATGAACTGCAACACATCAAGCTTTGTAGTAGCTTGTGCAGTGATGGTGGATTAATACAGTAAATTATGGTGAGGTGGGAAAGTGTTGACCAATCACAACTCATCATTGGCTGGGCTGTCAGAGTAACAAGAGAGTGCTTTGTGGAATGGAAGGAGGTGCTTGCCTACCCAATCAAATTTTGTTTAAATTTTGATAGATTTGGGTTTACGAATATTTAATTAATAAAAACATGGATTTGTTGACTCCAGTCTATTAGAGGCCTGATCTCACTCAGAGCAAATCGAAAGCACTAAAATCGATATTCATTCCAGCTTGTGGAACAATCCATTATCTTCCGGTTGGGCATACTATCACTGGCTGGAATGAATATTGACTTCATTGCCTTCTTTGTTGTGATTGGTCAACTTTTTGATTTTTTTCCCTTTGCTCTCATTTGTGACAATACTGATGAAGGATTCTGATCTGAAATGTTGTGCTTAAATTTCCTTTCTCTCATTTTGCGCCTTTCTGGTTGTGTTAATTTTTTTGTATACGATAATTTAAATGTTTAATTGTTTTTCATAAACAATCCTGGGCTTATTTCTTTCAACATTATGTACAGCATGATAACAGAGTGGGTGAAAACAGCATAGATTATTGGCAGAGAAGAGGAGGATATAGGGGAAGATTTAGAGGAAGAGGAAGATCGTCATGGGGACGGGGATACAGAGGTGGCAGTCGAGGAGGCGGTGGTGGGAGAAGTGGTGGTCGCAGTCCACAATGGAGTCATGATCTTTTTGAAGAAAAAACAAAAAAAGCAGCTGAGGTAAGTCGCTTATTTTTAAGTGCATATATATATACCATTCCATTATCATCTGATTTTTGTACCAACTTAGAACAAAATCAGTACTGTAAAATCTGTATTAAAAGCCATGGTATCAAATGATGAATTTTTTGTTTTCAATTATTCAAAAAGAATGGGTGCGGCTTCTATTAGGGATAAGGCTTATAATACAGATCTTATGGTAAAAGTGTTTCCGACAGTCACCCATTTTAAATCAAATCACAAAACAAACAATAGAGCAGCTATTAACGGCTTTCAAGAAGGAGGGCCATAACACCATTAAATTTGAAAAAAAAAAAGTTTGAAGATTTGATTTGTGCAATGTATATACGTGTAGGTTACACGACGTTCTGGCCCAATGCCTTCATTATAGCGC